CCCCCCCCGCCTCCTTACAATTCAGCTCTCCCCGCCCCCTTACAGGCATTTTAAGAAAACCACCATGTCAGGGTAAAAAGAATTTCGGTACATTTATTGTATGAGCCCGGTGTGAGCCCACAGCAGCTTTCGAAAAGTGCATAACACTCCTGAGTCGTCGTGAGTCCCACTATTTATTGTTGCGAGCTACTGTACATACCCTCTTGGTGAATGGATCACTTTGCGCGGCATATCATCGTGGTTTTTATTTCTTTTTTAATATCGAAATTCTGCTACGAAACATTAGAACATCAATATCAAGGCTTACTTTGTTCCAAAATCGGAGCCTCAGTTTGAACTTATGCAAAAAGGAAGAGAGACCTCAAGAACTACACTTGACGATGAGAGGTAGCATCACTTTAAAGAAAGCGGAGCTTGAAGTGCAAAAGAGAGTTGCTGCTAAATAATTCCGCAATAGCGGCGCTTAAAAATGAAAATCGGTACCGAGAACAAGGCAAACATACTTGGAGAGCATGTGTAAAAAATTCTTACACAAATTTGTTTGCATAACATACCGATATTCTAGCGCCCAAAATTCACGTCATTAAACGACACGATTCGCCCATGCCGATTATCGAAATGCTTCAAATGAAAATGGAAACTTTCGAAACCGTAGTCTCCAAGAAGTCGTACCCTCCGACAGAGCTGGAGAAAACGAATTTTAAAAAGCTCGCACTGTTCCGTTCAGCTAATGCTAACACCTTTCCGTTTCGCTGAGCCAGAAGAACGACAAAGTTCTGAAGACTGATTGAAAGTGAAATCCGCTCTGACGGAATAAATCCCAACCCTTGTCGGATTCATATGGCTCTTGAATTTGGAATTTGTAAATAATGTTAAAACGACTGTTTTAGGACTTGCCTGAATTTATTGGCCTAATGTCTCGTGACGTTGAAGCTATTCCAGGTCCTCTAGCTTTTGGCCATAAATACATGACAGGTATCTTTGGTGTTTCAGCTTTTGTGACGAATGATTCCAGCATGTTTTTTTTTTCAATTGCGTGATTAAATTCAAAAACCCCATTAGTATTTGCTTTCAGTGAGAGTCGGAGGCACTCGGGAAATAACCCAAATAGTAGCAAATGTCAACAGCAGCCACCTATTGGCAAGGCTGTCGATAGCTCCCTAATTTGGGGATTGATTAAAAGCAAACTCATGGCGATTCTTACTCCTTGGCGTATACCAGTAGCAATTTACTACTGAAACGAATGAAAGGATAACAGAGGAACTGGTCTCCCCGTCGACAGCTCTCGGCCTATTAGGTGTGGTCAAAATGGGTATAAGTAAACCACTTAAAAAAACCCCCCGCTTAAATCAATACGAGTCCTTGGATGCTGCTGAGATGCATTTTTCAACCATATGCAACTCTTTCAGGCGTTTCAGTCATAGAAAACCTGTTTCCAGTAGTCGATCACAACTTTCAACATGCAAGCATTTCGTTTTTCGAGAGCCCACCCGATTAGAACTCTTCTATTTTGCGGGTGCTTGTCTATTAATACGCAGCATCCACAGACCGTCCCAAGTCGAACAGCATGCCGGACCGTCAAATTTGATTTTCTGCTGTGGTCATCCTGATTCTTTGTGCATCACACATCTAAGATGCCGTAGGGATTCGGGTACAATTTCTCCCTCGAGGTGTGACAGCAACACCGATCTGTCCAACTTCAATGCACATGACGCAGTTGCATCATTTTAAACAAGATCTTAAGGTAAATTAATGCAATTTGGGCTGAACAGTACAAGCTTCGTCAGCTTCACTGGCACGTGACAGATTAAGAAGCATTTAGATGCGCCTAACCTGTGGCATGCTGAAAGTTTGATCTCACCGTTGTGGAGCGGACAAAGTGCAAGAAATAGTTGCTTGCAAGCCTTCTGGAGAGAACTGAAACTATTCGTGTATAAAGGGATTTGAGGAACTGAGCATAACAGCTAATAGCTAGAAATACCGAAACTGCGCAGAAAGATATCAAAATGAACGAGTCCTGGAGAACTGGAAGCAGGTATACTGGACAAGATCACCATGCTTAATCGCGTTCAGTCTGCACCGGCATCCAAGCAGCATCAAGAGTTCTGCATAGGAAAGACTGGTGTTTTCTATAGTTAAAAATTAGAAATTGTAAATTGCAAAAAGATTTAATATATCATCAAGTTTGAGTGCAAAAAAAAGACATGATAAACTGACATCGGGATCAGTTACAGGTGGAGCTGGTGAAGGTTCGCAGCGCTTACGGCCTGAATCCGATTTTGAAGAACGCGAACAGGTAAACCTTTCTTTTTGCAAACTGTCGCAGGAGGGTTTAACACTGCAGCCCAGCTGATCCGGAAACAACCGACGGTCGAAAAATTCTTAAGCGTATTTGCCTGAATGTGCAACGGGAACAAAGCTTTCTCGAATTTAAGCTCGGGAAGGAAGCCGTGGGCAAAAACTTCTTTGATTAGCTAGAAGGATACACGGAATGTGTTGATAAACGGGGAAAAATAGTTGTATTAAAGCCAACAGTCAACAACAATTCCTCAGCTTAACAAATGCAAATTTCTTATATTTTTATACGTTTCTGTATATATGCAAATGCAACCTAGGCTGGAACACATCGGGCGCGGCCGTGCGATCATGCGTTTTTGCACCGAACTTGAAGCACTCAGGTCATTGACTGCATGAACGGCTTTGCTTTACACCCACCTTTTGCGGCCGCTAGCATAAATCACCATAAATTTTGCAAAGTAAATGCACAATTTTCAATTAACAGCCGTTCTTTAGAGTAAACTAGTTGTTCAGTGAGAAATTTTTTCGCCAAGGCTTTTAAATGACCGTACATAAGAACCACGCATATCTCAAGCTGAATCTGAAATACTTAAACTGTACTTGGACAGAGAACATTCCCCCAAAATTTCAGCTTTTTAGATCTCCTGGTACACGAGTTAGCAATTTTCTCCCTAAAACTTTTACACGCCCTTACGTAAGTGCCATGTATACCTGAGGGCTGAATTTGAAATATTTGAGTAGTACTTGGACAGGGAAAATTCTTCCAAAATTTCAGCTTTCTAGCTTTCCTGGTACCCGAGTTAGCAATTTACCCCCTAAAACTTTTATACGCTCTTGCGTGAGTACCACGCATACCTGGAGGCTGAGTTTGAAATCTTTAGCTAGTACATGCACAGGGAATATCTCCACAAGGTTTCAGCCCCTTAACTCGCGTGGCTTCCGAGGTCGCTTCCCCGTCAGAAAATTTGCATATTTTTTTAAAGCGTCCGTACGCGGCACCCAGGCGTTCGCGGGGGATGAAATTAAAACGTGGGGTCGCGCATGGTACAGGCACATATTCTCAAAGTTTCAGCG